GTGCAACAAAGCAAGCAAATTACAAACTGGGTGGAGAACAACAACAAAAAGCAAAATGTGTTAACGATAAACGATAACGATGGCTGGCGATATACATTTAGAGTTAATCGAAGCATTAGAGGCGTGCAAATTGTTATATTTTTTATTTGTATAATTGGCTTTGTATATTAATTAGGTGGATCAACAAATCATACCAAACCATACATTTCCCTGCATAAATTAACATTGTAATATATATAGATAAATATATATATATATATTTTTATGCTGCGTTCGTGTGTCCACGACGTATGTTCACGCAAAGCACCCCCACTAATCACCCAATCCAAATAGCAGCTCCAAGCACACTTCACCCCATCCAACACTCCAGAAAAACAGCTCCAGAGACGAGCTGCCCTGCCGCCAAACTAACTTTCCCCCCCCCCCCCAACTCTCGTGCTCTCTCTCTCTTCTAACTGTATGTGTCTGTCATTTGTGTTTGTCTCTCTCTCCCTCTCTCTCTCCCTCTCTCTCTGTCTTTCTCTCGCCTAACCGCAAGCACCCGTAAGCTTCAGTCCCACAACACAAACTGTAACCATAATCTGATCAACCAGATCGCATCGAATCCCTGCCGCAAAAACCGCAAACCTAAAAAGACAAAGCCAAGAATCAAAAAGAATTTAAGCCAGTCAAGAAAATAAGCAAAAGATAAAAGAAAAAGGATGAAGATGAAAATGAAAATATGAAAAGATGAAGCAAAGATATGTAGAATTCTGTTCCTGTTCTGTCGATTGTCATATTCCTCTAGCTGTGTTAGTTTTATACCTTAAACAGTGCTTGCATTTGATGCCCAAGGAGATGACGAAGAGAGCTCCCTGCCCCATTTGGACAACGGATTCTCGTCGAAGCTGCCACCCGGCTTTCTCACCCACGGCCTGCCCACGGTGAAGGATGTCGCGCCGGCCATTACACCACTCGAGATCAAAAAGGAGAACGAGATCAAGAAGGAGGGTGAGTCCCATGATGACAATCACCTTAAGGAATATTTTCTGATACAAAAAAATCTCTCTCGTTTAACGCTTCAAGTCAACGAGCTGTCGGAGGAGCAGAAACAGATGATCATTCTATCGGAGGACTTTCAGAGATTTGTGGTGCGTGCCGGGCGTGTCATTGAGCGGGCCCTGTCGGAGAACGTGGACATCTACATGGACTACATTGGGGCCGGGGACAGCGAGGAGACCAACGATGAGCGCTCACACGCTCGTCTCTCACTGAATCGAGTGTTTTACGATGAGCGATGGTCGAAGAATCGATGCATTACCAGCATGGACTGGTCCACACACTTCCCAGAGCTGGTGGTCGCCTCGTATCACAACAACGAGGAGAGCCTCAATGAGCCGGATGGCGTGGTGATGGTGTGGAATACGAAGTTCAAGAAGCGCACACCCGAGGATGTCTTCCATTGCCAGAGCGCAGTGATGTCCACCTGCTTTGCCAAGTTCAATCCAAATCTGATACTCGGCGGCACGTACTCGGGCCAGATTGTTCTGTGGGACAATCGTGTGCAGAAGCGCACGCCCATACAGAGGACGCCGCTCAGTGCGGCTGCGCACACACATCCCGTCTACTGTCTGCAGATGGTGGGCACCCAGAATGCGCACAATGTCATCTCAATATCGTCGGACGGCAAGCTCTGCTCGTGGTCGCTGGACATGCTGTCGCAGCCCCAAGACACCCTCGAGCTGCAGCAGCGCCAGTCGAAGGCCATTGCCATCACATCGATGGCATTCCCGGCCAATGAGATCAACAGTCTGGTGATGGGCAGCGAGGATGGCTATGTCTATTCGGCCTCGCGGCATGGCCTGCGTTCGGGCGTTAATGAGGTGTACGAAAAGCATTTGGGGCCCATTACGGGCATCTCAACGCACTACAATCAGTTGTCACCGGACTTTGGACACCTCTTCCTCACCTCGTCCATTGATTGGACCATCAAGCTGTGGTCCCTCAAGGTATGCAAAAGGCAGATACAAAATATTCCAAGTATTTCTCTTATATAATTCGTTCTCTTTCTGTGCTTGCAGGACACAAAGCCGCTTTACTCCTTCGAGGACAACTCGGACTATGTGATGGACGTCGCTTGGTCGCCCATTCATCCCGCACTTTTCGCTGCTGTCGATGGTAGCGGTCGTCTTGATTTGTGGAATCTCAATCAGGATACCGAAGTACCAACAGCCTCGATTGTCGTTGGCGGTGCGCCGGCGCTCAATCGTGTCTCCTGGACACCGTCCGGACTGCATGTCTGCATCGGTGACGAGGCCGGCAAGTTGTATGTCTATGACGTGGCTGAGCATCTGGCGCAACCGTCGCGGGATGAATGGTCACGATTTAATGCCCATCTCGGCGAGCTAACAATGAACCAGGGCGATGAGGTCTAGTAGCCTTATCCAACGACGACTATAATGAAGATGAATGATGATGAAACGGATTGTCGTTGGTCGATTTCTGTAATCTGTAACCTCCTCCATGGAAAGAATTCATTCTCCAGCCCCTGCCCTCTGCAGCCTCAAGCCCAAGTGGAGTGTATTTTATATATTGTGAAAGTGTGTGTGTGTTTTTTTTTGTATCCCTTATCCATTATGTCTGTGTGATCCCGCTCCATACTTGTGTATAGCCCAGAACCAATCAACCAGAAACGAAAACAAAAACCAGCAATAATGTGCATTAGAAAGATCATTGAATGAAATTCGAAAAAAAAAAACAAAAAATATTAAAAATTGAATACATGGAATACATATATGTATGAAGTGAGAAATTATGTAAAACAAGAAAAGGGTCGAAGTGAAAATGGAAATGGAAATGAAAATGCAAATCATTTGTGAAGTAGTCCAAGGTCTCAGCCCATCCTTGATTGATATTGTAATTTATTTTTGTATTATTAGTTACTGGTTTTATTAATTATTCAAATTTTTAATTTACAAATATCTGTGTTCTCTTATTATTTTTCGTGGAACTCATGATTCTGATGATTCGAGGGAAAGCAACATATAAATTAAATACTATTATATATTATATATTCGATACAAAACAAATTAAGCTTAAATCGGAATGTAGAACGAATGGAGAGCTCCAGCTTCTCGCAATTGAAAGACACAGAGAGCAAGAGCGTGAGCAGCAGCATGTAAATGTATTAGAGCCTATTTAACGAGATTAAATAAAAAGATAATATCTACTATATACGACAGACAGTGGCGCCGCCCCAGATAATTGTGTATGAGTGGATCTGTGGTACAGTGTTAGCTGGCAACGCCGCCATCCAGATGATTCCATTGCTCTGGCATGCCAGAGTGCACTGTGCAACGGCACATTCCATAGCGTATCGAAACCGTACTGAAAGCTCGCCAAGTCGCGCTCTCAAAAGCTTTGCACGTAGCTTGCGCTCTCAGGTGGTGTTGAGACAGCGGTAGTCGCCTCTTCTCTCCCATAAGTAGACAAGTGCAAACGAGAAGACAACACTACTAAATGCACGAGCGGCTACATCGGAAGCAGAACAAGCAGCAGCAAGCAAGCAGCATATAAAAACAGCAAAAGAGAAACGTTGCGAAAGTTTGCAATTATTTAGACATTCAACTTAAACAGTATTTGCAAGAATCTCAATGGATTACAAGGTAAGGGCAGTGGCAGTGACCATCTATGAAATATGTACCTTCAAGTGGCATTCCTACACACTCCTCTGTATCGATTGGCCCACAAATGAATAACACAAAACTTATGCGTCATCCAGCCAGTGCCGACGGTTGTGGCTGCCGCCCCCTTTGATGCGGCCGCCGATGCCCAGACACTGAGGGCCGCCATGAAGGGTTTGGGCACCGATGAGCAGGAGATTATCGATGTCCTCGCCGGTCGGAGCAACGGCCAGCGGCAATTGATTCGCGCTGTCTACGACGCAGAGTTCGAGCGGGATCTGGTGGATGACCTGAAGAGCGAGCTGGGCGGCAAGTTCGAGGATGTGATTGTGGCCATGATGCTGCCGCCTGTGGAGTACCTGTGCAAGCAGCTGCACTCGGCCATGGCCGGCATGGGCACCGAGGAGGGCACCCTCGTCGAGATCCTGTGCACGAAGAGCAACGAGGAGATGCATCAGATTGTGGAGGCCTACGAGGACAAGTACCAGCGTCCGCTGGCCGAACAAATGTGCAGCGAGACATCGGGCTTCTTTCGCCGTCTGCTCACGCTGATCGTCACTGGGGTGCGGGATGGACTCAACACGCCCGTGAATGCGGACGAGGCCAAGGAGCAGGCCAACCAGCTGTATGCCGCTGGCGAGGCCAAGCTGGGCACCGACGAGGAGGTCTTCAATCGCATCATGTCCCATGCCAGCTTCCCCCAGCTGCGGCTCGTCTTTGAGGAGTACAAGGAGCTCTCCGGCCAGACCATTGAGCAGGCCATCAAGCACGAGATGTCCGATGAGCTGCACGAGGCCATGATGGCCATAGGTATGAGCACCACACTCCTCTTATCCTCCCAAATCCCGAAACATCTCTTATATGTCCAACCCTCCAGTTGAGTGCGTTCAATCGCCGGCGGCCTTCTTCGCTAATCGTTTGTACAAGGCCATGAATGGCGCTGGCACGGATGACTCCACGCTCATACGCATAATTGTGTGCCGCTCTGAGATTGATTTGGAGACGATCAAGCTGGAATTCGAGCGCATCTACAATCGCACTCTGCTCAGTGCCGTGGTGGTAAGTGACCGACCACTCCCCACCATCCACACTCCCTGTTAACGTCTTGCATTTCCGTTTTCCATTTCCATTTTGGTGTTTGTATTGTGCTAGGATGTAAGTACTTGCCCCTCCAAATTGCCACGATTGTTGCCCCGGTTTGAAGTGTCCTAATCCCCTGTCTCCTCCACTCTCATTCTCCCCTCTCTCTCTTGCAGGCGGAGACCTCGGGCGACTACAAGCGGGCTTTGACAGCCCTGCTGGGCGCTGCCTAAGCCACTGGTGCGGAATCGTTTGTGCTTATACGTAGTGTGCCTTCCTAGAAGTAGCGCTTTTAATGTCTGCTAATAATATTAATCAATTAATCCATCTTAAATGTGAAATATTTCATCCAATTAAAATGTTTGAATTTGATGCAATGTAGTTGTGGATGTGGGTGGGTTGCTTGGTTGGCTACTTGAAGGATAACTTGTGCATCTGCTTGGAGATCACCGGCAGGTAGTTCTGCATCTCATCCGGATTGGTCCAGAAGGCTATCGAGCTCTTGAGCTTGTCGCACGGTGCCTCCCGGTGGACAACCTCCTTGAGTATGTAATCGTTCTCGATCTCATGATGAAAGCGCGTATCGTTCATCCGCATCAGGACATCGTCGATGCGCAGGAAGTGACGGAGAAGTATGAAGAAGCCCGAGGGCATGACACGCTGGAAACATCAGCAACAACGTCAATCATCAATCAATAAGCTGACAGTAAAACACTCACAATGCGCACACTCATCACCGAGATGCCGTGATCGTGCAGCTCATCCTCGAACAGGGTGAGATCTGTGTAGAAAATTATATTCTCGCGCTGCATTAACTTGAACTTGTTGAGCGTCATATCGGTGCTCTCCGATCGTATCTTCTCGTTCATGGTGCCCTGATAGGTGGACGTGAATGTCCAGTCGAACGGCTTGAACTTCTCCTCTCTTGTCTGCTCCGGACTGAAAGGGCACAGAAGTGAGTAAGGAATATGTTGAGTCGCCTTTCCACTCACCACCGTGTATGACGCCATTCCTGGGCACAGGCAACCTCCACTGGTTGCGGCTGTTTGCCATTGTCGACCAGGGCCAGGGCATCCATCGGCTGGAATTCCATCAGAGCGCCGTCCTTGTGCTGCACCACCAGTTTGTTTTTATGGAACACCATGTCGGGCAGGTGGGGCAGTTCCAGAGAGTATTGATAGTGGCAGAGTTCGCAGCGAGCGGCGTCGTCCTTTTCGCAGCACTTGGTGCTGCCTTGCTTGCAGATGCTCTTCAATATGTGCGACTTTTCGTAGCTTATGTTCCAGTCATTGAAGCGAATCGACTCGCCGTCAAGCGGCAGCCGGGGTACAGCGCACTGCGGGAGCGCGCAAAAATTTGTTTTCGTCAAGATTGGGCGACTGTGCTCCTGCCATTACTTACATCATTGTCCATTTTCGTTAGCTGTAAGTTTATATTCGCCAAAATCAAATCCGAAATTGAATCATGGCAAAAATCCGAAATCGTATCAAAGCCAGTGTGACCGCGGAATTATCGATAAAATATACCGTGAGGGCCTCGAAAATATACCGAAATATATTTTGTATATTTTCATTTTCAAAACGTACCGTAAATTATACCGTGAATCTAAAATCATTTTCCTTGATCTTGATTCTCGGTCTCTATAATCTGCAAATTTGTAAAGTAATTCATTGAGATTGTGATCTTTTTTTTCCGACCGAATTTCTGTCTCTACCCAAAGGAACCAACAACGAAATCGGATTTTTATTACCTGTATTTATATGTAAATGCAGGAAAAAATCGATAACACAAAAAATACCTCGATACATCGGACAATCGTTTGTGGCAGCCCAAGTGGCAGCCCTGCTACAATCAACAGCTGCAGCCGCCGGTAATATTTGTTTTTGATTCAACATTTCGCCGTCCTGCCACACTCAAACACAGAAGCCATTGAATCACCTCCCGGTTTAGAATCAGGATGTTTGCCCTGACACGTTTGGCGCGTTGCAGCGCGATACGTAGACGCAGCCTGGCGGAGATCTCCACATATCTGCAGCCGCAGCGGTGCCGGAGCCAGGCCAGCAGCACGAAGGCAAGGCTCAACGAGCTGGACGGCCCCAGGCTGGGCCAGCCCACCAGTGTTAGCCATCCGCATCTCATCCAGCCCCACGAGCTGGTGCCGGGCCTCACGCTCGACGAGTTCCAGCAGCGGCGCAGCAAACTGATGCACAAAATACAGTCCTATGCGAGCACCTTTGGCGACAACTACAACGGCCGCTCCACTAAGAATCACATGGTGAGTGCATGCCTTAGTCATGGCACTTAGTCGATGCCTTTCTATAGCCCGGTCTCGGTTCTTTGCAGGTGATTGTGGGGGCCGCCTCGAAGAAGTACATGAGCGGCAAAATTCCTTTTGTCTTTCGGCAAAATTCTGACTTTTACTACCTGACTGGCTGCCTGGAGCCGGACTCGATTCTTGTGATGACCATCGACCAGGGCGCCAAGGTGGAGTCCATGCTGTTCATGCGCCCCAAGGATGCGCATGCCGAGCTGTGGGATGGCCCACGCACTGGCCCCGAGCTGTCCGTGCCGCTGTTTGGCGTCACCGAGGCCCACGACCTCGGACAGTTTGAGACGATACTGGGGAAGCTGGTGAGCGGCCTGCAGCCGCATTTCTGGTTCGATATGAAATCCTGCGACCTGCAGCACGTCAGGGAGGGCGTCATCAAGACGAGCAGCACGGAGAATATTCAGCTGCTGCCGGTGCACACATTTTTGGAGGGCCTGCGGCTGCTTAAGTCGCCCGCCGAGATGGAGCTGATGCGTCGCACGTGCAGCATTGCCGCCCAGTCCATCAACGAGGTGATGGCCGAGACACGGCCCGGCCAGTCGGAGCACCATCTGTTCGCGTCCGTCGACTACAAGTGCCGGCAGCGCAACGCCAGCTATCTGGCCTATCCGCCGGTGGTGGCCGCCGGTCGGAATGCCACCATCATCCACTATGTGGACAACAGCCAGCTGCTGCGGCCTCAGGATCTGGTGCTGATGGACGCCGGCTGCGAGTATGCCGGCTACACCAGCGACATAACGCGCACTTGGCCGGCCAGCGGCAACTTCACGGCACCCCAGCGCACGCTCTACGACATGGTGTCGGTGCTGCAGTCGGACATCATCCAGCTGATTGGCCGCATGGGCGGCGAGACGCTGGACCAGCTGTTCCAGTCCACCTGCTACCGACTGGGCAAGTATCTGCAGGAGATCGGACTGGTGCCCAAGGAAGCGGATGACTACAAGACGCTGGTCAGCCAGGGCTACAGATTCTGTCCGCATCACGTCTCCCACTATCTGGGCATGGATGTGCACGACACACCGAATGTGCCGCGCAGCCGAGCCCTGGAGCCGGGCATGGTCTTCACCGTGGAGCCGGGCATCTACATCGGCCAGGAGTGCACCGATGTGCCGCCCGAATTCCGTGGCATTGGCATACGCATCGAGGATGATCTGCTGATCAATAAAGACAGCGCTGTGGAGGTGCTCACAGCTGAGTGCATCAAGGAGCGCCGCAGCTTGGAGCAGCTCTGCCAGCAAGCCGAAGCAGCCACCGACTCAGCCTGAAGCCAGCGAAGACACACACAAAATCCCTAGTCAGAAACTGCACTTTCAGGGTGTGAATATGGAAAAATATAATTGGAAATTGTATAAATGAAATGTGGTGATGTGGTTGCCGCTTAGAGCTTGGCAAAGATTGGCTTCTCGTCCTTCGTCAGCTGAGCGGCCACGGCCTGGGCAAAGTCCTCCGACTGCAGATTCAATTTGTTGTACCAGCGCTGCAAGAGATAACAAAAGAATTTTGTACCAATGGGTTATGGCTTGGGCCGTGGGTACGTACAATATGATCGAGCCCCTGCTGGTTGGTGTGCTCCAGCGAGTAGACCATGTTCGCCTTTGTCGTCTGCACTGCAATGGGACTCTTTTGTGCTATTTGCTCGGCCAGGGCCAGGGCGCCGCTCACCAGCGAATCCTTGTCGGCAAAGACACGGCTAACGAGGCCACAGGCGTGCGCCTCGGCTGCCTCGAAGCGGCGCCCGGTGAAGCAGAGTTCGCGGGCCAGCGACTGGCTGCCAATGGCCTTGGGCAGTCGCTGGAGCGTGCCCACATCTGCGGCCATGCCGATTTCGACCTCTTTCACCTGAAAGAAGGCGTCCTGCGTGCAGTAGCGTATGTCCGAGGCCGTTATCAGATCAACGCCAGCGCCAATGCACGCCTGATGGACGGCCGTGATCACGGGCTTGGGGCACTGCTCGAGGGCACTGATTGAGTCCTGGTACAGCTTGATGACACGCTCCAGGATGTACCCCTTGCGGGCACAGTCATCTGTGTCGGCCAGCTGCTGGCCGAGGTTCATCATGTCGCTGAGATCGATTCCGGCCGTGAAGTGTTTGCCTGAGGCGGACAGCACAATGGCGCGACAATCGGGATTCGTGGACAACTCTTCGAAGCAGTTTTTGATCTCCCTATGGGTGGAGGTTGGATACTGTAAAGAATGTACAGCTGACCATGCTTGATGAGGACTACTTACAGCCACATCTGCTTGTTGATCGCATTCAACTTGTTGGGTCGGTGCAGTTCCACATGGAAGACGAATGGCTTGGGCGTCGATATGGCCAGCGTCTTGAAGGCTGTGTGTCCAGCCGGAGAGTTGGCCGCCTGGGCGCTGTGGGATGTGTTGTGGCGTTGGGGCTGCATCGCAGTAGTATATCGGCCGCTGGCTGCCAGAAGGTAAATGTGAAACGGGGATATCAGCGCGGGTAAAGGTTCAGTGGTTCAGTGGCACTTCGGACTTTGAACCGCCGCTGTCCGTTTGGACTTGGGGGACAATAGTAGTGTTTTAGGGAGACGACAATGCTGTCCTATTACACACCGGTCATGTTGGGTGCCAGCCGGATCAGCTTGTTCAGGCGATACACGGACATGTTGAACGAATTAACAAATCTTAAATGTTTTCTTTTGTGCGGCAGCAATTTACACAGTTCTACCAGGGTGGCAACTCTAAGGTGTCGATTAATTTTCTTTTCTGGTATTTTGTGCACTCATGAAATGTATATTTTCTGATTACTACTATTTACAAACAAGTGCTTCAGAAATGCTTATAGTTAATTATAAATAATAGTGTTCTTATGTCTAAAAAGTGACTTCTTGGTAAGCACGAAAATACAAGTATTGCCCTTTATAAAAATACCAACCGACCAAAATACCAAAACTGAGCTGCTTATCGACGTTGCCAAAGTTATCGGCTGAGCTCGTTCATTTGGTTTTACCATCCAGCAGAAGTTTGCAGGTGTTACTTAAAGTTGTGTTTAATAAAAGTGAAATACATTAAACAACGGGTAAGTCATACCGCTTTAAATTATTTTTCGTGTAGTTTGTGTGCAGATATGAAGAGGAGGAAGTTAGGTGTCAGAAAATAGCCAAATCTCGGTCTAAAAGTTCTATAAGTTCCGCGACCGGCGAAATTCGCAAAACTGCTGACAAGTCATTTTGCTTTTTTGGGGGACATTTGTTTGTTTACTTAATATTTTCGACAAATAGGCATATGAAAAGAGCTGCAGATCTCGACAGATCACAATATCTCTCTAAACTTTTTTCTTGCTGCTGGAAAATGTCGACCCAAGGTCCGGCGTTTTATGCATGTTCGTGCAGGTCTCTCAGCAGATAATTTCGCCATTTGCTTTTCCTACATTAGGACTATAAAGGGTCATATGTGTGTACATATATTACAACATTTGAATGCTGAATCAGAATTTGAATACTTATTTTGCACACCTTAAAGTTCATTTCCATTGGCAGAAGAAACATCAAAAAGTTCCAAAAAGCCCGCTGCGCAGTCTGCAGATCTGCCGGCAAGGCGTCGCCCCTGCCCGCGGTGTCTCATGCAAGTCTCAAAGCTCAAGAATCTCAAACATAAACACAGCTTACAGCTGCGCGACGGATTCGTGAACTTATAAACAAGCGCCAGCCGGCGCCTTCCAGTGAAATTTGATACACTAGGCGGCCATATTGTTTACATTTGGGTTTTGCGGAGCGGATGCAGTTCGCAGAAAATATACAGTTAACCAGAGCTCCCACCCCTTGAGAATCATGATTTCATTGCGAAATATTTTTGATCCCCTCATCAATTGTTTATACAGAAAGCTAGCGCTCTTTTTCAGGCATATATTACGGCTGTCATCTATATTATCCGAACAGACGTTTAAAAAAAATGTCCATTTTCTTTTTTGTTTTTGCAGCTGTGGCAGCTCGAAATACCAAAATACAATTTCTGTTCATCGCTTGCCGTGTGGGATAGATATATCGATATACCTGTAAATCTCTTCATTTTTGCTTTGGCGCGGCGACGCTATTTTCCCGGCAAAAAAGGATTTGTGCTAAATAGAATATAAATAAGAAAACTAGCAAGTGCGGATAAAGGAAACATGGTGAATTGCATGCTGTGTGGCTCGTCGGTGGAGAATGTCCGTGACTACGGGCCATCCTTCCATTACGACGAGCTGAATAAGGTGCATCGCAATTGTCTGGTAGGTGCCTCAACTCCACATCCAGTCCACCCTAACAAAAATACTAACAAGCGCATTGTTTACATTTCTTCATCTTTGTTTTTGCTGTGTTTCTTGTGTGTTGTTTAGTACTTGAGCTCGAATCTGGTGCAGCGTGGCGATGACAACAATGGAATCTCACGTTTCCTCAAGGAGGACATTCTGGCCGAGGTGGAGCGTGCCAAGAAGTTGACGTGCCACTACTGCAACAGGAGCGGCGCCTCGATTGGCTGCTGCAAGTCCAGCTGTCGCCGCAGCTTCCACTTCAGCTGCGGCCTGGAAAACCTGGCGCGCAATCAGTTTTGCGGCTCCTATAAATCCTACTGCCACTCGCATGTTGGCAAGAGCAAAGTGCGCCCACCGGCCGACGAGAAGTGCCCCATGTGCCTGGAGCTGGTGGTGCCTGAGAATGAGAAGTTTAGGCAGGTGCTGGCGCAGCAGGCACCGTGCTGCCGCAACGGATGGTTTCACAAGAAGTGCCTGCAGGATTACGCCCACAATGCTGGCTACTTCTTCAAGTGTCCGCTGTGCAACAGCTCGAGCAAGTTCATGGACGTCTGCCTCTGGGGTGTGTCGGTGCCGAACAGGTACGTATTTGAGCAGTTATTGGCATGGCAAATAATCCCTCCCACTCACTTCCACTCCAGGGATGCTTCGTGGGAGACTGAACCTAACGCATTCCACGACCAGTTGGTCCGCGACTTGACCTGCACCGCCTCCAGTTGCATTGCCGTCCATGGGCGCAACTCGGACACGCGCAACATTTCGTTTTGCCAACTGTGCGGCTCCAATGCGGTGCACAGCTACTGCGTTGCCCCCACTTACGTGGAAACCTGCCAGACGTGCAGCATCGTGGATCCGCCCAGTGATGACTCCGAGGACGAATTTGAAATGTTTGCCAGGCGCGAAGCCCTTCGCAGTCGCAGCCGGATTAATGGGCAGAATCGCAGTCGCTACCAAGACAAGCTGCGTGCTCCGAGCACGGACGAAGACGCTGATGATGATAATGAGGATTGCGATTTCCTTGGCGGCCTCGAAGCTGTATACCCGCCGTTGGCTGCACCGGCCGCTGGCGCCATCACTGCCGCTGACAGTGTCGCTGCTACTGCCACTGTCAATGGAACCGATACTGGCAGCATGACAACTGACACATCAAGTGAGCAAGCTGCCGCCACAGCAGCACCACCAGAGAGCGACCCGATGCTGCGCACACAAACACCGCTTGGCTCGTTGACACGCGCTCGCGCTGGACATGCAGTCAGTGCTCCATCGAACCGTAAAGTTGACCAACCCGTCAACACCTCGCCCCCACAGGCCACTGTGACCTCTTCAGCTGCGGTTGCTGCTGCACGCCAGAGAAACAGAAACTCATTGCTCCGCCACACCATGTCGATCGAACGTGAGTCTAGAGTACAGCGCATTGGACAACGGCGCCGAACGATGAATTCTGAGCCGTTCAACGGGGAGTTGCGGTCTCGTACTCTTCGCCGCCAGGGTGCAGCTTGTCTTCGCCAGAGTTCCGAAACGGAGATTGGTGCCGGCGACATCTCGTGTATCGCCAGACGCACGCGAAAGCGCACAGCCGAGACGGATACGGAGCCAAAGAATTAAATCCATGAATGTGGACGATGCCACATTCATTTCCTATTTAGATAATATCCATAATGGCAAGGCCATAAACAAAAAATTAATTTTGTTTCAGTTATATTTTTTTTTTCTTTCTTTTTTTTTTTCTTTTGTTAATAGTATTCAGTATTAATCTTCCTTTCTGGATCTCCTATAAACTTAAAAGAACTTTACTTAAGTTTTCCAAAAAAAATATATAATATTGCGAAAATTCGCAAGTGTAAACATATAAAAACAAATAAAGGGAATAACAAACTTATGCCGAGTTATGGAATTGGGAAATCTTTAAAAATCCCGCCCTAGCGGCCATTGGCATGAATATGATCAAATTGTGCACTGGCAACGTGGCGATAGTTCAGCATTTGAAAAATCGACCACCTCTGGTCAGACTGTTTGACGCAGAAATATCGATGACAACGATTACCACCATCGATGTTTCTCCAGCTCCACAGACTATAAATAAGGTTATTTTTTTATATGTGTTAGTGCGTTAGTAATAGTTTATCCAGAATATGATTTAAGGACTGAACCAGACGCCCCCGAAACCCGTTCAACGTTCCGCAACGAATTCACAGCTTCGCAGGAATACGATTCGAAACGAAAACTGATGTCACGCACACAGAGCGAAGCTGAAAACACACAAATTCAACAACAAGTCTGTCATTGAGTAGGTAGGCAAGTGTGTGTGCCAGTGTACATATGTATGTTCGTGCCAGCCGTGTCTAATAAATGAGTGCAAATCGGGCGAACACTCTAATTTTTCCATTTTCTGTGTTATAATAACTACTCGTGGATTCGACAATAATTAGTCCATAAATTCCGCTGTGCTTCCTTCCCTCTCTATCAAACGAAACCAACAACAATATGTCTTTCACACACACATGAAACCGTTGCTGATACGAAGCAGCACCAGCAGCAGAGCGAAGGGCAGCGCAGCAGCAGAGCCAAAAAAAAAAAGAATCATTTAGATCCAAGGAAATTGAAACCGCTACGCAACATCCAACCAACCACACAACTTACATAAATTTAGTACATCAGCACTAATAACAATAGCCAGCTTATCACAAGAAAGCAGCAACAATTAGGAGCAGAAAAGAAGCAGCAGCAGTAACAGAAAAGAGAAGTTGGAGCAGACACAGGAGCAGAGGCCAGTGGCAGAGAAGCACTATCAGCAGCAGCAGAGCAGAAGCAGAAGCAGAAGAGTACAAGCAGCAGAGAACAGTTTATCTCAAATATTCATAAAAACCAAGCCGGCTGCCGCCTAAGTGCGAGCGAGAACCAAACAGCTCCAATACATCTCTTGCTTCAGTACATGTGTGTATGTGTGTGTGTGGGAGCAAGGCATAGAATTTGTTTTTGCAAACAATTATTTTTGCATTGTTCAAAGCGGCAGCTCTAACTGTAAATAGCAGCAGCGGAGAAATAGTGGACAGCAACAGCAGGAGCAGCAGAGAGCAGAAAATGGCACGCGGCTTTGATCATCTGTTCAAGCTGCTTATAATCGGCGACAGCGGTAAGTGCAAAAAACGAAGAAGTAATATAAGGGGGGAAGAACCGCAATGATTGTAAGATTAATATGCACTCTACAAACGCACACACTCTCTACCCCTCTCTGTCTCTCCTGTGCAAAGGGTTTTATAAATAAATATGAATTTATATTTAAGTTTTTACTTGTCCTCAATTTGCCAGCATCCCGCTAGAGCCCGATCAGCTGTTTTTAGCAATGGTTTTTTCCGTCTGTCCCCGTTTTCTTTATTTTTTCTCGATGGAGATTTATAGAAGCGACTAATCTGCATATCGAGTGCATCAAAAGTGTCGCCCTTCTAAGATTACATTCCTTTGTCGCTGTGCCTGTGGCTGGCGCTGGGCCGTGACTAATGGTGACACATCGCAGGGCAGGATTCGCACTTGATACCCAAGAAATGCTGGTGGTTTCTCTATTGCTTACGCTTCTTCCAGCTGCATGTAATTAGATCATCTGCTCGGAATAGAATAATAATGAGCCACAACATTTCCAAACACCCTTCAACTCCCTCCAATGAATATTTTTCCTACGAAGTGTTTGTCGAGTTTTTGAGAGTATTAATTAACGATTTTTCCCCCATTTTTACCGCCAGGTGTTGGAAAATCCTCGCTGCTGATTCGATTCTCAGATGACACATTCTCGGGCAGTTATATAACTACCATTGGAGTGGACTTTAAGATCCGAACGGTCGACATTGACGGGCTGCGGGTGAAGCTGCAGATATGGGACACGGCCGGACAGGAGCGATTCCGCACCATAACGAGCACCTATTATCGGGGCACCCACGGCGTCATCATCGTTTACGATGTAACGAACGGCGACTCATTTGCGAATGTTCGCCGATGGCTGGAAGAGATCCAGAACAACTGCGATGTGGTCAACAAAGTATTAGGTGAGTCTGGAAGCAGCTATTGTCGACATTTAATCATTTGTTTGATTGCGTAGTGGGAAACAAGAACGATGATCCCGACTGTAAGGTGGTCATCACCGAAGATGCGCAAAGGTTTGCGAAACAAATGGACATCGAGCTGTACGAGACATCCGCCAAAGACAACATCAATGTGGACAATATGTTTCTGTCGATAACGCGGCAGGTGCTCAACCACAAGCTGCGCACCACCTCCAATGAGCAGCAGAAGGACACCATTAACTTGAAGAACAATCCCGGTACTAAGCGTAGAAAATGCTGCAGTTGAAAGCGCGTCGTGGGCATAGGGAACTGGCACCAAAAGCTGCTACAGGACCGGACCAGGATCGGTGGCGCCCTCGCTTGCGGAATCAGTTAAAATAGTTGTGGGGAGCGCATAGTATATAAAATATAACGTGGGTTATTGGCGTACATTATGGCACACACACACACATAGACATAGCTAACACCAATGCACCAACAGCGACACCAACAACAACAACTACAACTACAACTACAACTAAAACTACGACAACATCAACACCAACACCCACATAGAGACGATTTTTTCTGGTCTGTTTTGGTTTTAAAATCCTATTTTAATCGGAATCAAATGCCAGTTAGCCGTTAAAACTAAAATTTATATGTGAAAAGCGCAATTAAATGTATTTAGAAATTTATATACATACAATACAATACAATATTTAATATATATACACAAAAAAAAAACAACAAAAAAAAGCGAAATTGAAACAGATGGCATATTTATATACACAACAAAATATACATATTTATATCGCGGAAATTGTATTTACAATTGCATCAAGCCCCGAGCCCCCCATTCCTGAACAACAACAACAACAACAAGAACACAAAAAGGTCTCCAATATCTCACGAAAGCAGAAAATCAGAACAATAAATTATACATGTGAAGTTTCTCATAGCCGGACAGACAGACGGACACGCTCGCAGTATGGGAATTATTTTTGTATGGAAACATGTCCGCAATGAACAACAATTTCATTGCATATATTTTAAGAGGAGCTGCAACGCCACCACATCCGATACTTTCTTTCCCCACAAGCAAAGAACATGGGAGCATTGATATTTCTACGCGTATTCAGGTTATTTTTTTCTTTTGCTACTTTCACTTTTAAAAAATGTGCACCATATAATATTTTTTGTTATTATTTTTTGAATGAATTTAATGGGCAGATAAATCCACAAACAAAACCTGTACCCAAAACCATACAAGCAAATACAATTGTATTTCGATTTCCAATCAATAACAAACAAAATGGAATAAATCGAACTACAATTAAAGCAGATTTAAATAGAGAAGAAGCAACCTTCCAAGGGGGCGAAAACGGTGCAGTTGTTGAGGTGCATTTAAAGATTTCAAAATTTGTATTTAATTGTGTTCTAATAATGCAACTGATGGATTTGGATAACTTCATCAACACAAGAAAATGTAAACTCCAAGAATTTTGTTAATTTCTTTCAAAGTTGATATTGTAAATGGGTATGCATAGACTGTATGCAGTGTATGTGCAGTACGTTGAAGCACCATAAGGTAGTTGGGATAAAGACAATAATTCGTTGAATTACTAAAGTGCTTCGTGACTTCCAAGATTGTATTTGAACCAACCAAGAACCAACAAATTAGGCAAAGTTCATATGATAAATGCGATTACTTCCTTCCTTCTTGCTAGAAACCACAGCCAGAGAATATTTTCAACATTTATTCAGTGATTTTTGCAATGGATTCTAGCAAAAAATTACGTGTTCTAATAATGATTTGATTGGGTTCTAGTTTCGAAATGTATTCCCGCCTCTCGATCATTGATATTCGAATTGTTTTGTGGTAAAATAGCGTACTGCATGACAAGCCCAGGTGTGTATTTATATCCAATTAGACATTTATTTATGTATTGTGTTTAAACACCAAATATAATTATTTAGTTATTCCCTTTTGGCTGCATAAAGACTTTTAGAAAGTGTGGCAGTTCCATAAAGCCTATACATACATGCGTACATACATATATATGTAAATCTACTGATCAGAATGCAAAAAAAAATGATATATATTTATATATGTGTATATATTTAACGACTACAATAAAGAAAGCAAATTAAATTTTGTAAGCCGAAAGTTGTTCACATTTAGAGATGAAAGAGAAGGTTCATGCAGAACGAAACCAGCTGAATCGGTGGACCATCCTTATGGCATCCTTATAACAAAACCAAATCTGTCATCTTTGCTAATTAATTTTCATATAATTTATTAATATTTATTTGTATTACTTTGTTTCGAAATATTTCGGTTCGTTTTCCACTGTATTAGCGACTAGTATGGAGGAAGGAGAAAAAAAAAACACATGGCGGATACACAGAGAGAGGAGGGAGATTGGGATAGACAGGGTGTACGTATAGCGATTGAGTTGACTGTATTTGGCAGACAGTGCGGCTGAACGCTCCACTCTGTGTTACGTTAACGGTAACGGTATTCAATGATACTTGGCCACGGGAAAGGTGCGCGTCTGGCGGCAGGAGACGAGAGCATCACCCGACTGACCGGGCGGACAGCGGCAGACAGCCAAATGGGCCTTCGGCTCGCAGCTGGCGCCGGTTGCGCACTTTCCGATGCAGGGATCAATGCACTGATAGTTGATGCAGGCCCTATGGTCGGGGCACTCGTTGTTGCTCAGGCACTCCCCCTAGATGGAGACACGAAGAAAACAAATGAGAGAGATGAGGGAGATGTCCGATATTGCTGAAACTTACCCGAGTGCAGTGCGTCAGTGGATTGCCCGTGTGTCCGGGCAGGCAATTGCAGACGGGACGTTCGCGTCCTGTGTTGTCGTGTCCCGGCACGCAGATGGTATTCGTGCCGCACGGATTCGGGTCGCACAGGTCCTCCTTGGTGAATGGGCGACAGCGCACAAACGGATCGCCGGTCATGTCACGCGGACAACTGCACACGGGCGTCAGGCCACGCAGATTGCAGTCGGCGCCCACGCCGCAGGCACCCTCGCAGGTGTTCTTGCAGATGCCGTAGAAACAGGCGGGCCGACCGGACGGACAATCCACATCGCCATAGCATTCCGGTCGACACTCCGTGTACGCACTGCCGATATAGCCCTTGGGGCACTCGCACACCGCCCGATGGTTGGCCACGGTCTTGCAGCTGGCGCCCGAGCCGCACTGGCCGCACGATGGCACGCACTTGAAGTTGCTGCACATGTCGCGGCTGCTGCAGTCGCCATCGTGTTCGCACTCGTGCCGGCAGCCGCTCAGCGGATTGCCCAGAAAACCATGATGGCAGGAGCATGTGGGGACGCCATTGATGATCTCGCACTTGGTGTTCACGCCGCAGGGGCTCGGATGGCACTGTTCCTCTGAGGAAGAGATAGATATTCAAATATGTATATTTCAATTTAGTTTAATTTAATTTTAAGGGTAACATTTGATTCTTCTGACTGTTGTAAAAAGAAGTAAACATGTCGCTGCACAAAGCTTTTATGCTGAGCGTGTGCCGACTGCGCTGCCCGAGAGCTTTTGATTTGCACAGAGAGAGAGAGAGCAAACAGCTCTGCCGGCGGCCACTGCTTTATTTTGATCGATTTCATATTTTCTAGGCTCTTGACTTTCGTTCTCAAACTGCTTGCTGATTGCTTCTCAAAGGCTGCCGCGAAATCGTACAAAAATGTGAAAGCACCCAAATAATGTGGGAGGAAAGAACGGATAATGGTGCAAGTTTGCCCATTGAAAATGGAAAACAAGGGAATTGCTTGCCCCAACCACCATCTCATCATCATCATCATCATCATCATTAGGTGTGTACCATCAATGGCGGAAAAGTCATAGAACAACAATTGGCATTAAAGTAAAAGAAAATAATAAGTAAACCCCAAAAATATGCGCATAAATGGACTTTTGCTATTTGATTTCGATTTTCTATTCATGCTGGCTGTACCTCAAGCTGAGGGGTGAGGACTGAGGGCTGAGGTTGTGGCCAACCTTAGTATGACAGAGCACATAAATCACATGGCACGGCATAAATCAGGCATTGGAGGGGCAGCAGCGGCAACTATGGAGTAGGCAATAGGGCAGGGAATACAAATTACCGCCAAGTAGGCGACTGGGAGCAAGTGGGCTTTAATTGGGGGCAAACTGTTATGCTGGAATGTCTGTTTTGCTGTGCTCTCAATGACAATTATTTGACTAAAGCTCAGCCGCAATGATCTCTTTCACAGCCAGAGCCAAACTCTTTGGCTTCATTCATATTTCCGCATTTAATTTGCTAGCAGCATACGTTTATCTGTGCCCTGCAATTTATACACATACACACATACATATGTATGTACATTCGTTTAACCATAAACGGATGTTGACTCAACGCCTGGGGTCTGCTGTGCTTTGGTGTCTGGGTGCTTGGGGTTGTGGCTCGCCTTCGGCTTCACCATTCGGTTGTGCTCTCTCGCCCACACGCCCTTGTCCTTGATCTTGACAATTATGAAACAAAATGCTTAGCTAATTACCATAACATTACAAAGGCCCCGAGAGCGCTTCTGGTCGGACATGGGGCGGACACTGACACTGTTGTGTTTGTGTTTATTATGGATTATTATTATCATTGTTATTATTATTAAGCGCGAACATTTTATGCATGCCAAAACCCACATGAACAGCCACAGCTGCTGGGCGGGGCACCAAGTTTTGTTTTTGTGTTTCTGATTTTTTGTTGATGTCGTTTCGTTTGCCTTCTTTTGGTCATCGGATCAGAATACTTACAAAACGAATGCGATTGCTTATTATTGGGAGCTCTAAAAATATGTTCATTCTGACACAATTTCAGGTTTCGTTGCTGACTGTTCGCTATTTGCACTGCTCACTGTAAGCTTTCTTTCTCTGTATCGTTGCTTTAACATATGCGTAAACGCTGCGACGGCCGTTCTTTCGTCTATTTATCCCGCCTTCTTCGCTGCTGCACTTTTATTGCGCTCTCGCTCTTAGCTTGCCAGCAGCGTATGCTCAAATGCTCTCTCTTAATCGCGCTCTCTTGCTCGCCTTCTGCTGATCTTCATCCGATTTGACCTACTCTTCAGCCGCCATGAACCAATAAAGCTTTGCCTTGCTTTGATTATTATTTTCTTATATTCTTTCTTCTCTGCTTAAATTGATTATTCAATGGCCTTGGAATTGCGGAACCAGTTTTTGCAAGGAAAAAATGACACTTGATGATTTCCTTCTTTAGATTGATGGCCCCCCTCAAAGGGTTAGCATTGTGCGAGTGGGAGCGTGGGGAGAGCGGGGTACACATGTACATATGTGGGTCAACAAGTTCCAGTTGTGCAGCACAGAGAGGGGCTTAAGGTAACTGGTTCTACGAATAATAAAGGGATGACAGACACTCACCTGGATCGTTCAGATGGCAGGCATGATAGGGATCACCATTGTAGCCCGCTGGACAACTGCAAACGGCCACATGGTTGCGGGCCTGCAAGCAGAAACAAGAAGAGAAAAATGAAGCACCAGAACAGAGAGAGAGAGAGAGAGAGAGAGAGGAGAGAGCGTGGGGTATCCACTTACATCACAATTGGAGCCAATGCCGCAGGCACCCACACAGGGATTAACGCAGCGATTGTCCTTGCACTGCAGGTCGCCGCGACAATCGACGTTGTCCAGGCACTCGCCGCGATTGCAGTGCGTGAGCGGATTACCGC